GGTTTTACTAAATGAAGTTTGTAGAGTAAAGCTATTAAGGCAAAGAAAATTGAATGAACCATGTCAGGGAGTAATACCTGTAAGTACAGGTGTAGTGTTTTCATTACTGTCTCTAGGAAACGTAAATGAATATTTCCAACAGAAAAAAAAAAAAACACAATATGCAAAAGTTAATGCTTTCTAATTTATTTATGTTATTATTTAGATATTTCATTGTATTTTACAGAGAGTTGCATCTATATATATATATATCTGTTTATATCTAGATATCTATATCTACATATAGATATACATTTTTAAAGTAAATGCAATTCATTATATCAAAATCTTGGAGCTGTGGGAATATCCTGAAATAATCAGATTGAAAGTGAAATATTGATTTGGGAGTTGGTTGGGAATAAAATCACAGCCCTGGATACAACTGCATATGGTTCATGAGTATTTGGTTTTTGACTGTAAGCAAGAGCTATATAATCAAATTGACACTGAAGGAGAAGCGTATAATTCATTATTAAACAGAAAAATTATCAATTGAGAGAAAAAAACACCAAAGTTATGAGGGGAAAAAAACAGTAAAAGTAGACGGTAAAGGACAGGAAGGTAAAGCATAAATTCGGAAGTTGTTATAATTGGAAAATGAACAAGACCTAGACTTAGAACAAGAGCATGATACTGATATTGTTATCATTCGATCCAAAAATGATAGAAACCCTAGTTCCAGTGCCAGACACATACCTGATAATGCATCTTGCCAGGAATGGGCATTATGACTGCAGTCAACAAGTCAAAGGATAACTTAAGGTTTTAGAACACATCATCCTAAAGATAAGTAAATAAATACATACATACATGCATACACGCATACATACAGATTATAAATTGTGAAAAACTGGCTTTTATTCAGGATATTTAACTTTCACCTTATATAAGTACCCCAGGATTCAAACATAATATAAAATTCCTTATATTCAAATCTGCCTGACAGTATGATGGATTTTAATAATTCATTATGGAAAAGTTAAGTTTTATTATTTTCAAGAGGAGTTACCCTCATGAAGAACAGCCCTCTCATCGGATGGATTTACAGCTTTGACAGCTGTGCAGCAAATAACATGAACAATTGACATGTACTCCTCCACACAAGACGTCCTTACGTATCTTGCAATGAAAGTAATTCCAAAAAATATGGACTTTCCATCATATTTCATCTTCTTTTGACATTTTCTATTTAAACTAAACTTGCAAAGTCAGGTAAATTTCTACCGATAATATATAGAGAAGTCGGTAGTAATTATAATTCCAGGCTTTTTGAATATGTAAAATAATATCTTCTGTCACCCCAGATATATGAAGGATGGAATGATACATTCATGAAATAAAATTATTTTTAACAAAGACATTTTCAAAAGCAAAAGAGCAAAGAAATATTTTTTTTCCTTAAAAAAAGGAAAACATAAGGCATTCTCCAGACCTCTTTGGAGTCCTCAGTTTACAAATTAAGAATGAATTACTAAGAAAATCGAGTCAAAAGCCCAAGTTATAAGCAACAACATTTGGGGCAAATATGAAAATCTTTTTCTTTGAGAATAGTGTTTCTTTAAAGCTCTCTGAAAGATTGACTGTACTGAAGAGTTATAAATGGCTAATTCTGCATCTTCTGTGATATGACTAATAGTGTAAGTAAGGAAAATCATTTGTAAATGATGCACAGTTATTAAGTCATAAATTCAAAGAATTAGCTGAACATGCTTAAAGGTACTTCAATGAAAATTTTTGTTCATAAATGAGAAATATGAAGCTCAGAGAATATAATCTTCATAAAAATGTGATAGTTCTCTACAAAATGATCATTTGAGGTCATATCTCTTGACTAAATAGAGTGTTACTAATTCTACTACTGAAGAGGGAATAATTACAGCAGCAAGAGGACTAGTCTGTGGAAGCAATGTTGGATCACTTAGATTAAGTACTGAGCAGAGGAGGGAGGTCTGCATTGCACATTAGTGCATGTAATGCATTATTTGGAAACTACTTCTTTTGGAGTATTTTGACAGTAATGTTTTGTATCAGAGAAGGTTCTTGTTTTCAGACAACAAAAATCAACTTTACCGTTGAAGGCAGCAGATATATTTATTGGAAGAATATTGTGTAGCCATCAAAATTGATGAGGATCCTTAAGAATCAGGTTTGGCAAGAAGTATGAACCAACAGAAGTTAGGCAGTAAGAAACAATGTCAGCTACTTGCCGTGGAAACTGAGTAGCCAGAATGACTCTTAATTTGTGCAGCTGCCACTGTACTCTGTCTGTCATAGTTACTGGGCTCACCACTGCTACGTTTGGACCTTGAGACCCTTACAGCTGCCGTTGAGACATTTCTCAACTTTTCCTATAGCCATTTGTCACTTGCTCCAGGGTGCTGGATCATATAATTAACATGTGTATGTCACTAGCGCAAATTAGAAATAAGAAGTTGGAAGCAGAAAAGTCATCTGGTCCCAGGTGTTCAGAGGCAAAAGTTAGGGCTCTGGTCATCAGGATTCATATATTGACGTGTTCCATGGAAGCAGGAAGGGTGTTTAGATGTTGCTTAGTCAAAAAAATGCCAAAAATCTTCAGCATATTTCTATTGTGTTAGTCTCAGTTCGTGGTTTATTTCACTATTATGTGCATTTTAATTCTTTCTAACCTATGCAGAGATGGGTTTTCTGAAGTAGAGCAGAAAATGTTCGTATTTGGAGTCTGTTCTTTCATAATATAGTAAATGAAATTAATTTTTAAAGTACAGTAGTGATGTTTACATTTGTTCTTTCATTCCACAGAGCCTTATTTATAACTTTCCATAACTGTCACACTAAAGATTCATAAAAATATAATGTATATATAGATTAAAATGTATTTATGTATTTTTGGAATGCTGCAGGCGATGATTATTGTAAAGAAAACACTATACATATCTGTAATGCATTATAAAAGCCACTTTCTTCACCTTCTACTCATGAATTATGCTTCGTTAAACAACTTAGCATAAAGGGCAAAGATGTTAATTTCATTTAAAAATCACACCAAGAGGTGTGAACGTATTACGATAACACCTTCTATATATTCATCAACTTGACTTCTAAGAAGAAAGTTAAAGTTTCTTATTTTGAAATTTGTGACTTAAATATAAGAATATTTAGAGAAACAAGAAAGAAAAACTTTAATATAAATGACCCAAATAATTTATTAGATATACTGAAAAGAACATTAAAAGTATTTACATTTTTATAAATAAGAAAATTGAGAATCAAAGAAATTAGGTAATTCATATAAGTACATATTGTAAGTAAATTATCAAAAAAAAGAAGAAAAACTTTTCTGACTTTCTTTTCAGTGCTTTTACTGTGTTGGAACTAGAATGGCATTTCTCTTTTTATATGTTAAGAAAGTTTTTGAGTCATTTTAATGTAAATCAGTGAAAAATGTATCTTTGTTTTCAAATAATATTACAAAGTTTAATTAATATTTGCCTGATGATTACAATGAAATTCCAGTTCTCATCCAATACTATAGTTTCACAATTGTTGAAGTAAGCATTTTCAAAAACCTTAATTTATGGGGAGAGAAACTGAGAGGGTAAATGCCTTGCTCTGTGTCTTATGTGATTATTTTTTTCATCTCCTACTCAGTGTAAATATTTTCATCAATTATATAAAGAATTATACTTTGATTATTTATGTTCAATTTTTAAAATAATTTATATTGTCAAGTCAACCACCTTGTGATTCATTTAGGTCCGTATTTAAGTTTGTACTGATTTATAGGGGCAAATTTTATGGAATAAGAAAGTGATTCATCTACTATTTTTACTTGATGGAATAGTTATAATCTTGAATTGATATTTTTCTAATCTTGAAACAGACATATTTTAAATGCAGCAAAACTTACTGCAGTTTTATGTTTCAATAAGTTAATAATTTCAGTCAACTTCTTCTCTCCCAAATTCTGTTTTTTTATCGTCCAGAAATTTTTCTCAAGTTTTACTTTATCCAATTATTGTAAACCCTAAGTCCAAGTTTGCAACATTTATTTGAAAACCAAAGCATTTTCCCCTCTGTTCTTTTTGCCATTCCTTTCTTACTTACACCCTTCTTTACATTGCTATTAGATTTATGTGCAATGTCATTCCCAAGCTTGAATATCTGTCTTGCCTGTATGTGAAGACGACATGTTAGAGTATTATCTGCAGTCTTATCAAAATCCATACAAGCTATGAGTGAGCCAGTTGATATTTTCACTCATATTTGTGCCAATCTGATCCTCTAGTATGGAGTAACTTTCAATTTTATACATTTTTTCAGCCATCTTCTTTTCTGCTTTTTTTCTTTCGATTTTTTTTTTTTTTTTTACTTACTAAGCCACTTTTAATCCTAGGAAGTATTTTGTTGAAGTTCAGTGAGTCACATATAATAGGTAATTAATTTGTGTCTGTGTAATACATTTTTATCACATCTAACAAAAAAATAAATACAAAAATAAGTGAATAAAATTTGTACTTAGCATGGAGTCTCTATTAGATCACATATTGTAAGTGATCACACTACACTTAGGCATGTGTACTTATGGTCAGTTTTGACCATTTCAACACTCTCTATGGCTACATTTCTGTGTTTCAAAGAATACACACACACGCACACCCACACACATACTCATTCGTATGTGTATGTGTATATATATCCTCAATATACATATACCTGACTATATATATTCAAGTATAATATATATTCAATTACATATAATTGAATATTAGTAGTGTAGATAGGGAGGTTCATCTAAAAATATGTGTTCAGTGTGCAGGTTTATGCATGACTATATGTATGTTTGTTTGTGTATTTTCAAAAGAATTTACACACGTTCTTTGCCTGTCAGAATCACACTGCAAAATAGTATAATTCACATTCAGAGCAAACACTTAAAACTACCATGTTTTGTAATGTATATAATTTTCTCTCTTTCCATTAGGTAGAAAATGGTTGCCTGCGTTCGCCTACTGTGAAGACTTAGAATTAGACAACTATAGCTTTGATTCTCCAAGTGTTTCAGGATGTAAATGCAATCTGTCTTTATCCTGATGGACAGTTAAATCATGGACATGCTGAACAATTTACCTTGGACTGTCCTTTCAAAAGATGCTTTGGCTTCTCTCTCGAATGCTCACTAAGCATTTGTAGCTGACAAGGAAAAGAAAGAAAACTGTGAACTGGAAAGTTATCTTACAATGAAAATTACGAGCACATCTTGCATCTGTCCAGTCCTAGTGTGTCTCTGTTTTGTGCAGAGGTGTTATGGAACTGCCCACCACAGCTCCATCAAGGTGACCAGAAATCAAACCAAACACATCGAAGGCGAAACCGAAGTCCACCATCGCCCCAAAAGGGGATGGGTTTGGAATCAGTTCTTTGTTTTAGAAGAACATATGGGACCAGATCCACAATATGTTGGAAAGGTAAGTTTTTGTTTATTGGTTTATTTTTTTCCTCTTCTGGGAAATTGTGGGTGAAATGAGGATGGAGAAGCAATTGGATTTGAAGACATGGAACATTAAATGGATTATGTTATAGAATGGTGTTATTTATACTAAACAGTTCAAAATAATGATTGTAAAATATGAACTTTACCAATTATGTCACATCTCCTTAAACATTGGTCCATACACACTAGACAGAATGTTCTTTGCCAACATATTACTCTTCTTGTTCTCTCATGTAAAATGAAAACACTTAATTGAATACACAAGTAATTATATCTTTGTTACCATGAAGGTATGTTGGTACAAATTTTTTTTTTAATCTATCACTAATATTCATAAAGCTAAAAAGAAGATACTGTATCATGATATTTAATATAATTCTATTAACTGTTACAGAGATGGTATTTTCATTTGTCAGCCTTAAAAGCACATGGATATTTTTCCGATCCCATACATCAATTTCCATAAAAATATTGATATACTTTAAATATAGATTAAATATATATGGGATGTACAGGTTCTGTTAAAATTTCAAAAGTGACGTAGATAAATGATCAGTAACTTCAGATGAACTTTATTTTCTCCCAAAACTACAGAAAGGACAAATTAATGGCTTGTCGAACCCTTTAGGAAATTGTGTGCTCAGTAAAATGGGACAGTTTAAGCATGTGCCATCTAGGCTCTAGCATAAAGAATAAAGTGGGAAGTGGAGAGGCCTGATAAATTACTGATTTGATTGATCCTTGAAAGCAGCCACACTCAGGTTTGTTCAGCACCTGTGAGAGAAACAGTAGGCACCCTGATAGACTTCAGGCTCAGTAACTTCCATCTCCTCACTTGACTATTTATTTTCACTTTAGAAGTGTTAGTTCTAAAAAAAAAA